ATGTCTAATTTTATGCACAAAAGAGAGAAACGCATACAGTTTTATCATTAACATTATTTAGAAATTCCAAAAGAAGGAAAAAATGTCCGGAAATTAGATCCGTAAATCTACTAACTTCAAGTTGTTTCGTCCTTTAATGGCCCACCTGGGGAGAAGTTCAAATGTTTTGTCTGATAACCATTTAATGTTAAGAGTAAGAGTACTGGTGCCTTGACCTGCCTAACATGTAAGATAGGAATATATTAAAACCATTTTGGTTAGTATTGATTTTAACAAAAGCAGCATTGGTTTGTTCATTTCTACCTTAATCCAGTAGTCATCTCCATGACCAGTTTCTTGTTCTTTTCTGGAGTTGCTTGTAATTTTGTTTGGAATTTGTTTTATAGAGCCCACAAGATGCTGTTACAGCTTTTCAAATTTTGGGTGGTGAAGCTCAGATAGTTCAGGTAGCTTCGAATAATTCGTTCTTGTTGCTGGATGAAATTCTTTTTTCTTTCTCATTGATCATTTTTTCCCTTCTCATTAGATAATGTTAAAGCCTCAAGAGAAGGTGATCGCAAAGCCTGGTACGTTACTATCTATTTATTTCCTAAATATGCAACCATGTTCTATTCACTTTAATGATTAAAGCTTTCACTTGATTTTTTAAGTTTATTCCCTATTAGTTTCACTAATATAAAATTTCTAGATCTAACTCTGTGATTGGACATACTTATTTCTTTTGGCTAATGAATACTATGAGCAGGTGAATGCCATGCCATTTAAACTATTTGAACTTACCAACTCAAAATGGCTATTGCGTACTCGATTCAGTATATCTAGTTTGTGTGGTGCTATGGATCTGTTTAGTAGCTTGTGAATTTAAATATTAGGTATGCGGGACTGGGAACGAATGAAGCTGCTTATAATACATGCTTGTTTGTGCTCAGCTTGCTTATTTTGAGGATGCAGTGAATCTCTATCTGGATTTTTTTATGACAAGTCAGAGTGACTAAGTTTCATTTTGGCTTTCTTTCTTTCCACAACCATAACAGAACAGTGGTCACTCATTTACGAAAAGTATAAATGAGAGATAGGCTTTATTCAATTAAAATAAAAGCACAATATACTGCTCTGTCCATAGAAAAGTAAGAAGTAGAGAAGATGACAAATTAAGAATTTGGATCATCCTGAATACAAGATGTCAAGTTCAGGAATTTGAAATTGTTCACAAGTTAGGCTTTATTTGGAAAAAATTAACCTTGTGTTAAAGACAAGATTTAAATGATATACACATGACCCTTTATAATCACTTAAGCTTGTAGATCAAGTGGTTCAATTCCGTTTGCCCAATTTTTGAGTCTACTGAATAAATGTTCACACTTTTATTGGAAATTTATTAGGTGCCTGTTCCATAAGTAGAATGCCATGTTATTATAATCCATTTGAGATAAAGGAATTTCTATTTTAACTTTCTTAATTATTCAAAAAATATGGAATTTTAGAATGACAGTTATTACCACATCATTTTGAACGTTTTATAAATCAAAAAGCTGATAGTAAAATAGGGGTCGATGGAATCTTAATTTATTAAAGTATCCTTGAAAAGGATCAATCTTATGCTCATATAGTAGTAAACTACACTAGCTGAAGAAAGAATCTCTGCACTTTGTCTTGTTCAGGAAGCTTGTCTAATCCAAGCTCTGCTTGAATTTGTAATTTAAAGGATGAATAAGCTTTTAGGTGAGTCAAGTATGGGTAATTCTTATGCGTTCGCTTAATTGTCAATAGTTACCTACACATGTTATTCCACTTTTTTACTTCTCTTGATTATTTTTATATTTACCACTGCTGTGTGCTTTTTATGTCTGGATGTTTTACAGGTACCATGTGCTACATGTCTGGTTCTGTCCAAATGGAAAATGTTTATGCACCTGAAAATGAAGCAGGTGTGTTGCAGTGGCTTTTTGGGAAAAGTGTGACTAGCATAGTTTTCCAAAATAAAGGTTCAGCTGATGGATTTGTAGGGATTGCCGCTCCTTCTCTAGCAAGAATTATCCCGGTTTGCATCATTATTGAATATCGGTTCACTAGAAAGTTTATGAAGTATGATTAGATCTTATTAAATGTTTCCTATATTATGTTACTGATCTATGTTTGTTCTGCAGATTGACTTGGCAATATTTGGCGGTGAAATGTTGTGCCAGGTATAAACATTGGTGATCAAATTGTTTTCCATTTTTCTCAAAGTTTTGGTTTGAGTTTATATTTCGCCTCCCCCTTCCCCACTCTTCGTAGCTAACTGTCATTTTGATTGGATTATGACTGTTAATATTGTTTTGTAGCCAGATGCATTTCTTTGTTCAATCAATGATGTCAAAATCAATAATACAGTTGATCCAAGGGCACGTAATGCTATTACAAGTGCTGAGGTGAGACAAGATCTGTTGCCTTTTGTCCTTTACCTTGTAGAATATCATGAATTTGTTTGTAAAAGTGAGGCATAGTTGATTGTTAAGTCGATTATATCTGCAGGGATTTTTGAGGCAGAAGATATCTGGTCAAGGACTTGCATTTGTAGTTGGGGGTGGTTCTGGTATGTTTTATTAAATTCCTTTCACTGGAGAACACTTTTGGGCTTTTCAGTAAAGCATTTGACTTTGACATTAGGATGATGTAATCTTGCATATTGTCTTCCAGAATTTTTTCTCTTACATTTAGTGACAGAGTG